ACCACACTCAGCATGTTCACAAGTAATTTAGGCTCCATAAATCAAAATTTTCACCACATTCTCAACATCAAAGAACAGAATGCGGCAGGAAAACATAGCATTAAGTTTAACAGAAAACAAAAGAAGGCATAACAAACCACAAAACAAACTTACAAATGGTTATCACTATTGTACTCTGTAAAAACTGATAGTCATCTCTCAAGAAAAATATGCCAACACTACAACATGCTGTTATTCTTATTACTGTAAAAACTTAACAAGTTAAGGCATGCAATAATTTGAGTTTTTAATGTACAACTGAGAACAATACATCAAGCTTTTAGAGAATTGATAAAGTTTCCATTCAGGCAGTGCTTTAAGTCAGGTATGTAATGGAAACTAGAAATTGAAATCCAGTGAGACCAGAAATAGCAGAAATAAATAACATGTACATAAGCCAACAAGTGATTCTTTAAATCCAGTGAGAGCATAAGGAAGAAGACAAGTAAACAGAAGCATACAATATAGTTTCAAGTGGCTAGGCTTACTATACCTACTTAATTGGAACTAAAAACATACTTACACACCCACTATACTCCAGTCACTTCCTAAAGTCTGTGGCTGCAGTACATGTGTTATGGTGCTATACAGATTTACAAACTGGAGTAATGCTACTGCTACATTTTATGTACAAGTAACATGTTGCTTTACATCCTAATATATTTTATGGCATTCATTACATATTTAGATTCATTTGAAAATTCCATCTGCGTTGCACATATCTAGCAATTGAAGTGCATTGTATTTCATTCTTCAAGACAAGAATTTTAAAATAAAGTAAAGTAAACTTAGTTCGAACAAGAATTCAAATTGTTATTCAACTGTATCACCAACTTCATCAGTCAAAAAAGGAAAAAATAAACACCAATTTCAGCAAAATCAAATCCTGCTGGATATAAAAAAAATATATATATATATCTGTCCAAAACACTTTGAACAAAGGACAAGCCAAAAAAAAAAAAAGAAATAGGAAAAACACATAATTCAAGCATGACAACACACAAACTGAGGTTCCAACAAATTATCCAACACAAGGGCAAATAACACTTAATAAAGAGCAGTACAAGATATTTCAGCAACTCAACAAATGAAGGCCCAATCAGAACAACACAACATTCTGATAACCCGAAAAATAAGAGCACAAGAGGAAAATTTCGATTAGAGCTCATCACCTTGCGGCTTCACGAAAAAATAGCGAAGTTGTATGGCTTCCCCCTCCCTCCCTGCTCGTGCTCGTCGAGGTAGAACTGAACTAGGGCAAAAGCCCCATTTTCATAACAACAGTAATGTTAAACTAGGCCAAATCTGAAAACAATATTATTAAAAATCTAAAAAATAAGGGGAATATTGGAACTTACCTTTGACAACGGAGTGATGAAGATTAACAGCTGCTCAACAAGGAAAAAGGATCTAAACACCTAGGGCAACATGAAGCAGGCATATTAAGCACAAAAAAT